TGATGCTTGTTTTTATGGAAAAAAAGTGCGCATTATACACGGGTAAATACGGTAATAATAATAATATAATAATATTGTAAATATATGACTTTCATATATTCTTAACCATTATAAATACTTATTGCTGATGTAAACTTTATCCATTTTCCTGACAGCATTGGTTAAATCCTATGAAAAAAATCAAGAAACAAGTCAAAAGTAAGAATTTCTACACTTCTTCCTTTTATATCCTGTGATTCAGAACTGTTCAGAAATGAGAAGCAAAGAAAATCCTACTTTTTGTGAGATAGGTTTTAATCTGTAAATATCACATGTTTGTCCCTTGTGCTGGTAAGATTTGTATCAAATTATTTATTATAATCTTTTGTTTGAATAAGAATAATAAGTGTTTTTACAAATGCAAATATGTAATTATAATTAAATTCTTAATATTATTTTCCAGTTGGTCCTCCATATACATTACACTTCCGAGTCAGATTTTATGCTGCAGAACCACAAGACTTGACAGAGGAACTTACCAGGTAAATATTCTGCAACAAACAAGCTTTCTAAGCTGCAATAGTTGCCATGGCAAGAAGGAAATAATTAAGGAATGAAAATGTGAAGAAGGTCATCAATTCAAGAACCAATAAACAAGTTGAAACTAAACATAATAGAGATTTCATTGTCAATGCTCTGAAGTTGAGGTGAAATAGACTTTTGCATGAAATGTTATTGACATTTAAATGTCTTAACCTTATGTAAGATTTCCTTCCTTCACCATGGTTGTTCTGGTATTAAGCTTTGTTTGAGATTTTGCCTGTGATAGTCAGTCAAACTGTTAACAGTCATAACAAGGTGATTTGGTATTATCAACTGAGTTGACAATGTAAATTGGCCACTGTTGAGAGTTTCAAAGCTGACATTTTAAGCATTAGCCCATCATCAGAACAGATGTAGGAATTGTGGGTTGTGTGTGTGTTTATATGCAGAAAATTGAGCTATACTATCGGAGGGAACATGGAAATGAGAAAAACAAGAATAAATTAGTTGAATGAAAAGCATTCACTGATACTTTGGAAATTAGGAATATCAATTTGAAAGATAAATTTTTGTCCTAGAGTTTTGTGGCTTTCCAAAATGCCTAGATGTAGGGAAAGCCTGCCAACTGCTCAGAAAGATTAGGGAAATTTAAGTGTCTAGTGACTGGTTCGGATGGGTCCTTGTCATTGTTTTCTATGTTGCAAAGGTGCTCTCAGAATTGGTCACCTAGCTGTTTTCCTGTTTCACTAAGAAATAAGTGCAAGTTATGCAGTAGATAACATTGGTGGTGAATTTGAAAGGTTCAGGTTGATCATTAGTTTGTAATGAACTTCTATTGTGTTTTGAATAAAATTGGTGGAGGTTGCAAAAAGATATACCCAAACCATTTTGAAATAATTTAAAATTTTTAAGAATGATAGATTTAACTGTGTGGTTAAGGTTGCAAAATGGAAATTTTGAGTTGGGAGCCCTGCAAATGTTACATGTGCATTGAAAAAGTTTAAATATAATCTATGATATATGTGTTAGTTAATGGCAGTTAATACTTCATGTTAATTTGCTTTATCAATTCCCATTTAGATATCACTTCTTTCTGCAAATTAAGCAAGATATATCCAGAGCAAAGTAAGTTTTTCATCCTTTAAAATGCAATATTTTGAATTCAAGATGTTATTATTTTTTATGAGAAATTTATAAACAGGCATATAATGTGTCAATAGAAACTACTTTCTACTAAAGATATATACTGTATGCTTAAGACTGACATCTTTTTCTAGGCTTGAGGTTCCACTCAAGGTTGGTGTTGACTTGACTGGCTACAGTTTGCAATGTAAGTTTTGAACATCCTTTTGAAAAGTAATTTGTCTGTGTTTGTTGTGAGTAGAAACTTGCAAATTGCCAAAAAAAATTCATGGCATCATCTGACCAACCTCACTTACATGCATCTGGGTCAAATTTAGTTTTTACTCTTTATAAACTTTCTGTCAGTCTGGCATCCTTGTAGTACACTTTGCTTCTGTTGTTTTGTCTCTTTAAAAGTTTGTGTCTCTGAGTGTAAAGTTTTTCTTAGATTAGTGGATATTTGATGTCCCTGTGCACTGGTTCAATTGCATTTCATTTCACATTTGTAGCTCATCTTGGTGACTTTGAGCCAGAGCTTCATGAAGCATCAACTGATTACATTACGGAATTCAAGTTTATTCCCAATCAGGTACAGTAGGCAATTACAAAATTAAGATGCATAAAAAGGAGGCTTCTTACAGTAAAAAATAAAGTAAATAAAAAAATTACAAACTTAAGATGCATAGAAATAAAGTTTTGTATTTAAAAATGTTAGATTTTTCCTCAGAGCCAAGTAACTGAGTTATGCATATTCTTCTTCTGTCAAGAAGGGGTCCTCACCTGGGGCCACAACAAAAAAAACGAAAACTTGCATGATTGAAACATTAATTACATCACAGAGTAAAGTTGTTATTTCAGTTGCCGTACAAATATCTTAAGCTTTTTGTATTCTCTGCAGTTTAGAGCTAATGCTAATGGATAGTTGCTGGTAAATCATTTATTTGTTTTAGACAAAAGAGTTGGAGAAAGAAATCAAGAAAAAGCATAAAGCTCTTGTGTAAGTTTGTGCTAAGAGTAGTGAATGCAGTTCATTGTCTAACCCTGCAGTGCAGGCATCTTAATCTTACCAGGGAAATTTAACATCACAAGCTGGCCATCATCTAGCTGGCCATGTTTGATTTAAAGTGGAAGGTGGGGTAAGGAGGCCCTCTCTTTTGTTTTTAGCATTGCTCACCCCCTCAGTGATAATTTCTTTCTCTCCCCAGCCTTCCACTGCAGCTGTAAAAAATCAAAGATGGCAGCCATAATGTATGGAAGAAAATGTTGCGCACCCACCTGCTAAAATTAGGCCTGCTCTGCAAGCTATTCATTGTCCTTTTATCACTACATTATAAAAATAATAATGCAATATTTTGAAATTCTCCTTTGACTAATCTACCTTTGTTTGATCATTTTCACCAGTGGCTTGAATCCAGCTGAATGTGAAGTTAATTTCCTCAAGATTGTGAAGAACATGGATTTCTATGGAGTTGATATCCATACTGTTGTAGTGAGAAATACACCATTCATTGACTTGCTATTCAGTGAAATTACAGCAGTATTAAAATTTGATATTCTACCTATTCAAAATCTTTTTACTTTTAATAAGTGTAATAAGTCTTGTTCGTGCCTTGTTATAGCATCTAAATTTCCATTTGTTTTCACATTATAAGGGGGAAAACAAAATGGAGTGCCAGCTGGGTTTGACACCTCGTGGTATTTTGTCCATCAAGGACAAAGAGAAGAGGACAATTTTTGCGTGGTAAGCAGAAAGATAAACAGTTTATTAACATTATATGCTTGTTGTGTGATCTTTCAGGGTTGTGAAATGTCAAGTTAAACTAATTGCCTAACTTTTCCTTAACTTTTCAGGCAGAAGATTACCAAAATCTCATTCAAGAAAAACAGATTTCACCTGGAGTACCAGGGGGTACAAGTTCTTTCTTGATTGGTGCACCAAGATTTGCTTTAGTGTTTTAAATTAAGAACTAACCTAACCTTCCTTGTAGTTCTTTTCTAACGCTGACTTTCCGCATATTGCGGACCTATTTCTGTTTCAGGCTCAACGGCATGCTGAAAGTTACACGTACACGTGTACCAGTTCCCTCGCTGCCAAGCATCTATGGAAAAGTGCTATTGAACATCATACATTCTTTAGGTATTATGAAGGTTTTTCAGTGAATTTTTTTTGTTTGATCAATTGCTTTTGTTAGTTTTTTCCATGCCGAGTAAAGTTTAATGTGGGCTTTTTTAATCATCTTTGACACAGACTCGTAAAACCAACTACAAAGCCAAAGAGAACGTCCAGCTTCCTACGCTTTGGATCACGTTACAGATATAGGTTTGTATTAAACTGCACGAAGCTTCTCTTTTTTTTTTCTTTTCTGAAAGCTAAACTGATAGTGAAGCGGCACCGCACAAGAATCGCGAACCTAGAACTCGAGGGGGGCAGGGGTCAGGAGAATAGAATTTTCTCAGTTAGCACACCCTCCCCTTCCTCGTCGCTTTTTCACGCGCGCCCGCCGCTCAAGTAGTTGAAGAAGCAATTGAGAAAATACAGAAAGACAACTTGAAGTGAAATGATGCACTGCGCGTCGTCGTTAATATAATTAACAACAACAATTGCAACAAAATAAGAACAAAAATACTTTATTAAGACGCACTCCACCGAGATGTGCTTGTTAAATTCTGCCATATACTATTATATACGTTGGAGGGAAAAGGACGAGAAAACGAAGTTTCTAATTATTTGTTTGTTCTTTTTTTTCTTGAATTTGTGTTTTGGTTTAGCGGGAGAACAGAGCATCAGGCTCAAAGAGATGCGAGAATGAGCGCCAGGAAGTCACTCAAGATTCAAAGGTAATCTGAACTACTGTGTAAAAGCTATGTTACTTTTGTTCATAGCAATTTATAAGAGATGAAAGAGTGTGAATTCATCAAACCTTGGAGTAAGATTTGCGATTGAAACAAAAACTGTTCTTGTTAGGATAAAGTGTTATACCCCATTCACGCCAAAGTTAGTATCGACTTCAGTTAGCGTATTGTAAGTACGAATTACTGACTTCTTGAACCCTATGAAAATTTCATTTGTTCAGTTCTCTGTTTCTAATGCAGTTAAACGTAATTTAACTAAACATGTTTTGCTGGTGTGAATGAGGTATTAGTTATAAATATATTAGAATTGAGGGGGTAAGTTACTAAAGAAACTGTGGTACCACGTTGGGGAGGGGGAGAGAGGGAGAGGGAGGGGGAGAGGGAAGTATAGGAAGATATCTTGGTTTCATCAACTGAGTTGATGATGTAAATTGGCTAACGTAAAGAGTTCCCAAAGATGACATTTCGAAGGTTACCCCTTGGTCAGAGCAGAATCACCTGGTTGTATTATGATCCAAACACACTTGGGTTGACCTTTAGTAATTATTTTAATCTGTTAAATGCTTTGCGTTCAACATCTAAGGCTTGAACGCCTTCTTGCTTCTATTAAGATCTAACATTATTTCCCTCGTCACATTTGAGCAGGAGATTTTCCTCATTGACCCAGTGAGGTTTCTTGGCAACACAACACGCATAAGTCACGTGGCGCCCACTTTTTGTTCGTTTGTTATCAGTGGGTAAAGTTCCCAGCCACTGTTTGTAGCAGCTTATAAGAAGGTGTGAAAAGCCTGCTGGAGAAGCATTCAGCTGTAGTATTATTTTAACAGGTGGATTACACCGAGGATTACCAAGCCAGTGGATCGCTCGTGTTTAAAATCAGGTTTATTTACATGAATGTTTCTTTTAGGGCAACAAGCGAACGATTTTCAAAGAGACCTACTGTTGGTGAGTAACCAGTTGACTTTCAAGACGACTCCTGTTGTGTTCAAGATATCATTTATTATTTAAACATGTTTGTGCGTCATATGTGGCGTTAACAATAATCCTCAATCAACCAAACGCTCAACTTGGTTTCATATTCCATGTTTCGTTAGTGCAAGTCGACTGATTATCAACACAGAGAATGAACGAATTACTCTACAAACTTCGCTCCTGTAAGCGTTATGACTGATCAATCGAACACTTTTTGTTGTCGTTTTCTCACCATCGTTAAAATGCTGATGTTAAAATCAAACCTTGCCACTGCGTAATTTGGCAACAACTACAAGTTCTATAAGGAATGTACTTCGAAGATGTACCTCAACAAGAATAAATTTCATCGATTGGTCTGACTTCTTCACTTTTCTAGATATATTAACACTCATGTAGCACTTTTCCATCAACGGCTGATGTTTATGAAATCCTTTTCAATTTTTCTGACTTTAAATCGTCGATTTTCGTGGACGAGACCCTGTAAATTTGGCTGATTGCTGATATACCCATGATTCTTTGCTGACGTATGACCATATATTGTTCGCTGCTAGCTTCACATTTAGTGTTGGATCTGTAGTCACTATTTACCATAAACAGTTTTAGTCGTAAAAGCGCAAGTAAACGTTTTTTTCGGTATCTGTAATCGCATTAAAACTGTAGGCGCCAGTTAATTAGTAGTGAAAATGTCCTCGTAAGATTTCTACTTAATTACTTTACAGTCAGCTTTCATTAAATTTTTTGCATCTTCGTTTTAAAAGTTTTCGTAAGTTGTGGATAAAAGTTTTCGTGGCCTCCACGTAGATTGACAAATAATAACATCTTCAATCGATTGTTTTGTATTTTACAAAGAGGCTCTTATTCAGTCGATCATTTGTGAAACTATAACTATGATCACTTCTGACAAGCCTTCGTTTATTGGTGAGTTGCTGATGAGAATTGAACTTGTTTTGATTGCCGAGTTCTTGGCATTTGACGTCATGGCATTGAGGAAATACACTAGTGTAAAACTGAGCACAAGTTTTGTGCGTGAAAAGAAAAATTGAAGATAGAGAGGATATTGTCAGAGGTATAAGAAATTTCACTTCCAGCAGGCCTGCTCAGCTACAAAAAAATTACACCTTCATCCGAATTTGTGGAGAAATCTTTTTTTGTCCTTACTCACATGTGATTGTGTTTTCGAGGGTCATGATAATTAACCCCTGAACTCCCATGAGTGACCAAGACAGAATTTCTCCTTACAATATCAATACAATATCAAACAGACAAGTGATGAGAATAAAGAAAAAATTTCAATTAGGGGATTATAAGTTGATCTAGTACCAAATTTACCAAACTAACATCATAAGAACTGTATGGCAGACAGTAAGGAGAATTACTAATGAGATCTTGGGAGTTGGAGGGTTAAAAAAGCTTGAAATGGACCAGTTTTATAGGTTTTTTTTTGTGACAGGCTTTATTCGTGTTGGTTCCCGAGTTTGGGGTAAGGCGCTGAATGGTGATTTTTACAAAGGAGTGGTGACTGGTTTAGGAGAAATGCTGCACATAAAGTTTGACAATGGAGACACTATTGCGCATGACAGAACTGACCCTGAGTGTGTTGTATTTGATCAAGTTCCTGAGATCAGTGACTTAGAAATTGGTAAGAACACGTTTAACAACAGGCTACTAATTTTACTGATTGAATAACGTAAAATTCACTGACTTCGGTCTTACCGACCGTCTCCCTTTTTTTTTTTTTTTGTCCAGGGAGTCGCGTGATCGCTCATTGGCCAAGTCTGCCCGCTAAGCTGTCTGGGAAGGTGATTGGTATTGAGCATGGCAAGTACTATGTGGAGTATGATGATGGAGACAAACATCACAACACTATAGACCAGCTAAGGATACTCAAACCACCTTTGTATTTCGGTAAGATTTTAGAAAATAAATACAATGTTCCTCTTCTAACCGTGTTCGAGGTCCTTCTTTAAAGTGAGTGTTCACTGTTTCAATTTGTGGCTGTGCAAGCTTGAAATCGAATGGGACGAACCGAGGATCGGTAACTCACAGTACAGACTGAGAAGACGAAGTTGTTTCGTTACTTATCATATCCCTACTTTGACTATGACGAGTTCGGTAAACGACCTGTAGTCTAGTCTAATCTTGATGCGCTTCGAAGTGAAAACGAGTCCAGATGTGGGCACGTTTTAACGCAATTCAAAGGAATGTTTATTTTCCTTCTTAACTTAAGTATAATTGGTTATTAGTAACGTGAGATTTTGGCTACAAAAGCAGATTGAATTTAGGCGCAATAGAGTATGGCCTCTTCATTTGGCCAATCACTGATTGACCAGTAATTCGAGTATTTCAAGAATGTTCTTTGGCAGTTTAATTATTCATGGTTGGCCTCAGGGGTCGTATCATCTCGAACGAAACTTTTAATTATTTTAGTTACTGAAATTCCCTAAGTGGAAAAGTTTTACGCCGGTTGTGTGCTGCGCCTAGTCAGGACCTCGTTTATTTTCAAAGGATAACTTAGTTGTGATTTGAGGGAAGTTGTATTCTGCATAAAGCGAGCCATGATAATTGCGTTTTTATCTCATTTTACAATTAGTTTGTTAAATATAATTAAATCATGGAAAGTTCTTGAACACACCCTATGTTGTTTACGTTACGTTCTGTTTTCGATTCAATTTGGCAAACTAAAAGTCGGGAAAGTTCACGGAATTCTATTTACGCACTAGAACTCGTTACTTTAAGACGCGGCTTGATCATTTATCACTAGAAGAACTCTTCTTGTTGGCGAGTGACGACGGAAAAAATTTTAGGTTGCCTCCAACTTAGAAGTGATAACATGAAATTCTCCTCGTGTAAGAAAGTTCATTTCGAGGGCGCGCTCCGATATATCGTGAAAGGTTTGTTGGTTAAAATGTAATGTTCTTTCAAGTGACACTTCTTTGCTATCTAATTGCTTTCCTGACGATCCTTAGTAAATGCACCTTAGTGCAGCACTGTAAACAGTGCTTATGTTTAAAAAGGTTATTTTATAGGTTGTAATTAATTCGAGTCCTGCGTTAAATTAGCATCCCGCCCGGGAGCTGGGACAAGCCTCCTGGCCCCAAATGCTCAGAAGAGATCTGAAAAAGCCAGTGAAAGATACAATGAAACTAAATACGAAATAGTAATATTTTACGTTTTACTTCAAATCTCGCCGGGAATTGCATTTAAAAAAAATTTAATTTTCGACAATATTAATTAACGGAGTTGTGAAACATTTCCGATTTCTAGGTTCGATTGTGTTGTAAAGCTCTGATATTATAACTCGTGCTCTAACGTAAAAAGCTTGAGATTACTATTGCGAATCATGTTTTTTTTAAAAAATACATATACACCTTTTGTCAGTATTATCCTTTGCGCCAGAGGAGTCTCGTCTTTGTATGTTTATTCAAATGAAAGAATAGCAAAAGTGCAGCTCTAACAATCTTGCATTGTAGATGATGGGTAGAATCTTGTTTGCTTTTCTTCGGTCTTTGTAAAGAGAACTGCATCGCATTTCTCAGTTTTTTGCTCATAATTTTTTCCAAACATTACTTTGTTATTAACCGATCAAATCGGAACATCAAACTTTTATTTACCAGAGCAAACGATCAGTAATAACTATTTTTATTTTCCTCTCACTAGGACCCGGAGCCAAAACTCGGCGAGGCCTTAGGAAAGTAGAATCAATGAAAGTAACAAGTTTGACTGGTCGAGCTGTGATTACCACTGAACTGCCTCCACGCTCCAACTCTAATGGTTATGTTAAACCTGAAGAACATCTCTCATCTGAGGCTGTGGATGGTGTCATATCTTTACCATCCACGTCAGAGACTAGGAAGGTCGACGATGATTCTTCCGAATTATTCGGTGCGTCGAGCGTTTCCGGAGGTCTCCCAGACGATCGACCGAAGAATATCCATGCGCGATCAGCGTCGCTTCCTGCCAATGTTCGACTTCCACGTTCGGCTTCCACCAAACACGATAGCACCTCGTCATCTCCTTCTACGTCGCCCAGAACAGACAAGAAAGCCACTCGGAACAAGTCATTTGCGGGAACAACCAAGGCCTCTTACGCCAAAAGAGCTCCGCTGGAGATTTTCTCGTTGCCTGAAACAGATGTTGACTCGGGTATCTCAGTGGCTTGTGAGAGACCAACGTCGGGAAGGCAATCCAAACGAAACCTTCGAATAATGGATCTAATGAAGAACAGTAAGGAGGATGAAAAGAAATCGGGAAAATCCAAAAGTGACGAAACGCACAGCCAATCAAAGCGTGACAAAAAATCTGGAAAAGTGAAGTCTGTAGGTTCCACGCCCGCTCGGCCAGACATACGGGTTTCTCCGAATGCACCTTACGTGCCGAATTACTTAGAGACAGACCTTGACTCTGATTCAGGGAAGCACAGTAATTACTTCGTGGACGATCAGCGAAGCTTTCGAGTATTTATACCCAGTGATAGAAACAAGCGAGATCATAAAAAGCGCTTCACTACAATTGATGGAATTTCTGCTTCAGACGAAAGATTACTTCGAGGAAAAGGCGCTTTTCCTGTGAAAAGGTCTGAATTCATATTTCCGTTTAATTTCTTTTTTTAATATTTTTCCGTGTGTTTCCTTTTCATTTTGTGTATTCTGGTGACTTGACCCAGTCTCCCGACCAAAGGTGGGGAACTTAAAGAGAGCTAGGAAACCCTCCTCCCTTTTCCCTTAAAACGATAGTTAGTTATAATAAGCATTCACATGTCAAGTTTTCAATGAGCATCGTGTTAAAGAAGGAAATGAAAAGGAAAACGTTGAAAGTCGAAGTAAGCAAAGGAACAATGTGCCTCTTTTCTTGTTTTTGGAAACTTTCGTGAGATATTTTAAATTTTTCTTGATTCTGTTCTTAAGGTTTCTCGTCGTCGATAGTTGTTATTTTGTTCATTATGTATTTATATTCAGTTATTGACTGTCGCGCAGATCCTAAATAATCTCTACCTTCTTTAGTGCTTTCATCCTAATCACTTTCCTTATGTGGCTTTCTTGTTATATTCAAGCGTCTTTTCAAAGTTACCAGCATATAAACCTCTTTTTGCACAAGATATCTTTAAATTCGATGTCATCATCTTTACCGTTTATTTTGTGTTTCAGGAGACGAAGTTCACTTCCGGAGCTGCGCACAATTTTCAATCAAAAACAGGAAGAGAACAATCCTCAGGGGTACGTAATAAGTTGTTTCGACTTTTCAGTTTGACTTGATTGATGTAAAATTTGTTCTCTTACGATTTCCTTATGTTATTATTTGTTTCTTTGCCAGTAACGAGAATAAACTGACAAGGAGAAATAGAACGCATTCCCTGAACGATCTCGCCAAAATGTAGGTGTTGTTTGTTTGATTCCTACATTCATTACATTTCCTTCGTGAAGGACGCTGTGACTGAATGGTTAGCGCGCTAGGCTCCCGATCGAGAGGTCTCGCTCCGACCCCTGGTAATGTTCTTGGGCGAAACACTTACTCTCCCAGTCCCTCTCTCTGTCCAACTTAGAACAGCCTTTCATCCAGGATAGTAGATAGCCTCGAAACTTAAGCGGAGCAGAAACTTGGCATAACTTCTGCAATTTCTTGGCCTCTTTTTCCCTCACACTTCTTAAACCTTTTTCAATACTAGGTCACCAACCAACAGAAAGGCTACGCCACTACATATTGACAACTTGTCTAGTGCAACAGACAATCGGGTAAGTGAACTACACTCGTAACCTTTTGGGAGCCGCAAGTTCGTCTGTTTCTTGGGCAAATCATGACGTGGCCCACGAGGAATTCACGCATATGTTATTAATGAGTGCGCATTACGTAGAGAAGCAAGGGAAGAACCATTTTTATTCGTTTTTTCAGTTGAGCGGAGGCAAGTGCGAGGGTTAAGATATTCGACGAGAGGATTCTTTTTTTGCGCTCCTTCCCCCCGCTCCTTCCCTCGCCTGTCTCGCCCTTCGCGTGCGCCTTGCGCTTACACCGATCGCCTGAAAATCACGCAAGCAATGACATTATACCACAAGTTCACTCTATAGAAGTAATTACAAGCCGTATGTTCCTGAATTTGTTGTTATTTTCGTTGCAGTGTGACTCACCGTTGTTTTCTCCAGGCATGGAGCAGAGTGCCTCAAGCAATAAACTGTTACTTGTCACCGATTTATAGCGAGACTACTGGGACATCAGATGCGGCAATATGCCTCACGCATGACGCGGAAAGTCATATACATGAAGTGGGACGCAGATGATCGGTTCGTTACATAATCCCAATGTTAAAAACCCTAGCAATAGAATATCAAGGTGGAAAAGACGCTTTTTTTATTACAAAACCTTCTTCCCTTTTTATGTACAGTGAAGATATCCTGAATTTGTTAAGTTTATATTTACGGGACCAAAATTTGAAATTTCGAATGACAGCTACAATTATCGCCTGCTATTGCTTAAACTAATTGTTATGTCTCATGTATTTAGGCGAAGCTTTTTTAATGTGTTTTCTTGATTTTACTGTTATTTTTCCTAGAAATATCTGTTGATTAATATTTTTTGTAGTGGTATTTTCATTGATGGACGTAGTAAAGAAAACTGTTAGTACTTTAAGTTGGCAATAATCCTTTCTTGAGAACTGTCTCAATTGTAAATCATAATAGTAGTAATATATTATAGGAAATATGTCAATTGCGAACAAACAGCAAGGTTTTGTTGTCATTTTGAAATCACTGTAAAATTAGTGACTGGGTTACAAAACTACTTTAATTTCTGTAAATGAGGGCAGAAGTTGAATTACACTAGTTGATTGTGGCTACCGCTCCTTGATTGGTCGATAAGATTGTCAGCTGTCTCCTGTCTCCCCGCGGGCGCTTCTGGCGGTATTGGAGCGAGGAAACTGCTGACACCTCAGACTAAGTTTGCAATTGGTTGTTGAGAGGTTCCGATCAACTATTGGCCATATTGTTATGAGCCAATGATTCGGGGACCTTTCTGGTGTGGTGACTGGTTCTATTTAAATAATGAGAATGCGATTTAAGACGAGACCCACAGGCTTAATAGTTTGAAATCCTTGTAGACTTGTCTAATTCCCAAATTTAGGCGGGAAATAGCGAAATTATTTACCAAACAAATATTTGAAGCCGCTAGTTCGTCTTCAAAACATAAGATACTCAGCTACTTCAGAAATGTTACGACGGTGCAAGGTAATTGTTCCACTGCTTTAAAATATTTTTACCACTGCCCGAGAATTCTTTTGAACGGACAGCTAATAATCAAAACAAATAAGTTAAGAAGAGAGACCATGATTGCAATGGTAATGTGAAATAAAAGCTTTACAAACCGGTTAGTAGGTGTTGTGTTCCTTCAATCCTATTGATCTGTGTCAAGAAAAAACCTACCGTCTCAGCGAAAACCGTTCAGTTACAACAATTACTCGTTTTCCTTCGTCAGAGTACCTCGGCTTCATTTCTAACATCTGTTTTACATCAGAGGGCTATTCTATTTTAACGCCCTCTATTTTGGTCCCTTAATCCTATGCTTTTTTTACTTAAATAGAATATTTTTTTCTAAAGCCAACCTAATTCTCAGACGACCCACCCCTCTAAGTCTCAGATACAAGCGTGGCGCTTTGGCTGTTTAATTTGAAATTAAACGTAATTCTTAAAAAAAAAAACACAGAACCGAAATTTCGTCCAACTGATCAGTGAAACTTCCATGGAATGTCAATTCGCCCTTTCTCCTCAGGGCTGAACAGTTTTGCCCCGTTTCGATTACCGTTATCGCGCTGTGCTTACTTAGTAAGCACAATTTTCACTAGCTAACACCGTTAATCTCATTTTGAAACATTTTATTTCCAAACGTTTGTCAAGTGAAACATTCTTTACTGAAAGGATAATAAAAGTGCGCTACAAGATGTCTTGTTCATTGCTAAGGATTACACATTATGTAAACAGAAACCGAAACGAAATTACACTTTCTGACCTAACTGCAAACGCAATTGTAGGTCTGCGTATTTGCACTGACTTCACATTCTCGTCTTATTCTCCTAGCAGAACAAAAAATAGAAAATAAAGGATATAGTCAATATCTGGTTTACTACACAAGAGAGTATATTATTTCCCTTTCTGCTTAATTCCGTCACTTTGTACTCCAAACTAAACTTGACCGGAGAAAGGTGGCGGGATGAAGCCTAAGCCATGAACGATGAGACAAATAGTCACAGATTTTTTTCCTTCCAACACTCTTCCAGAAACCTTCTTTGGAATGATTCTGTATATTGATCAAGATTTCTACATTAGTCGAACAACAGGTTTTCCTCCAAATCCTATTGCACATTCTAGTCACAATACTCATGAATTACTCTCTTTCATCAATTAAAAACAGTATCCTTTGGTGCAAGGCTATACCTTGTCTTGTCTACAGCACTTTGGATAAAACTGTACTGAAAAACTTAAGGCAGCCTCCCACAAACAGTTGAAAGCTTTTTCAAGACCCAAGGTGACCAGAATCAAATCTCTCAGAGTGAGCAAAAAATTTTTCATTTGGATACATAATATTCTCCCAAACAAAAGAACTAGGAATGTCCAGACATACATTTAGATAATAAATATTTGCATTGATGATTGAGGTCTAAAGGTTGTAATTTAAGCACACACTATATCAAATTGACTTGCTTCTGGTCAACTTATTCACAATTTTGTCCAATAGAAAGCACCTTTGCTTAAAGTATTTTCAACATACCATTCTGAAAAATTCTCATCAATGACAATTTTAACAATAATGTTACAGCTACAGTTATTTCAAGTCTAAAGAGTTTATTCAATCTCATACTGAGACAAAATAAAATTACTGTTATCAATTACTTCTAAAAGAAACTAATTTTATTTACAATGGTTTGATAGCTAAATGAATTAAGTCATATTTGTATACATTATAAGCTGCTGTAAGTAGGACACAAGCCAGGAAATTTGTGTTGGGTATAAAACTGATGGCTACTGGTAAACTTCCCTCTAACAATAATAAAAAAAAGATTTCTTAATTTCTTTCAATCATTTTGTTTGGCTTAACTTCAATATTCCTATCTGAAAATATTCTCTTTTTATGCAGTAGATATGTTTTTGAGTTACATGACTTTGTACAAAGAGCACTTCAACCATAAGAGTTTGTCACTTCACTTTATTTTTTCCAGGGAGTTTACCATAAACCTTCAACTTCATGTGATCAAACCAGTTTTCCTGGCTAGCATTGGAACAAATGAAACATAGTCCCCAGCAAAATAACTTGTTATTCCCCCAATTGATAACCATTCTTACAGGAAGAAGACAAAACATACCCAGTCATAGTGCTTAAATATTTAGTAGAACTAGCCAGATGTCACTCCCACACAAAAGAAACAATTCAGTGACTAATGTACATAGAGAAATAAATGATAGCTTTATTATTGTACATTTATTTCAGTAAAAAATTTAACTGCTTTTTATATAAAATAAATTGAAACATTTGCATTAAATAGAGAATACAAGTCTACTTCCTAATATGATTTGTAATCCATTCAAGCCCCTGGTACAATCTGGAAAAGAGAAAAAATCACAACACATTGTTTGAGAATATTTTTTTAGTGCACACTTGCCTAGGTACTAAGGATCCTATGCTAAGGATCCCATGCTAATGATCCTATTTGACTCCTACATCCTATAAACACATTTTTTTTACTATTATGAAAAAACAGATGAGACATATTTGTACCAGATCTTTCTTTACAATAGTAATAGCATAAATTAAACCAAGAATTGAACACCTTACTTGAGCTCACACTGCAACTGTGTCGTACAATGCATTACAAACTGAACTAAACAAAGTTACCAGCTTACTCACCCTTCTCCTGTAAGGGCACAACATGCCTGAAAAGAAATAAAAAAAATAGACAAGAAATTACTTAGCAACAAAACTCCTTTTTGACATTACTTTTAGCTTAGTATACACTTAATCAGCAAATGGAGATAAAACATTTGCTATTCAATCATCAGATGCCTCACTTTTGTTTCCAATCTGTCTTTACAGTAAAATTTTTACTTCAGAGAGAGAAAAAGGAACATCTTCCTTTGCTTAAAACATATTCCTACAGGTAACATTTATTGAGCATACAACATAGAAAATGACCAGGGTAGTCACTGAAAAATGAATGAGCACTGGTTTATATAAAAAACATCATCAAATCAATTTCCTTTGTGAAAATTTACCTGTATATGCCATCCATGGTCCTTAATTGAAGTAAGATTTAATTGTTCTGATATTTCTGCAACACTCATTGATCCCTGAAAGAGAATAACTCTGAGTCAGAAAGCAATTACATTTATATTCAAAGTAAATAATGTTAGATCATAAGGATTTCTACTCTGTTAAAAAGTAGTTCTTATTCATACAGTATTGTCATTCGAGTTCACAGTTTATCACAAATTTACCAAATTGTGTTTGAATTGCAACATTTTTACATCAAGTTTTTTTATCACGCAGCTGCTTCAACAGAGGAACAAACCTTTATGTCTTGTTTGTTGGCAAATATAAGAACCCCAGCTTGTCTTAGATCCTACAGCAAAAGAAAAAAAGAGATAAGAAATAGAGATAAAGCTGTGCACTCTTGTAACTGGAGAGCGTTACTGCTCACAATAAGACAGCTTTGTTTCTTCCAGTTCACTGAAGAAGTCCCAGTAAGTCTGAATGAAATGATTATGAGCATGCAGAGATAAAGCTTTATAATCTATAACCTTGTGATCAGTTACTGTATTATTTAAGTAGGAATGGGATTAACTTCAATGTCAGGAACAACATAACAAATGATGATTCTGAAGACATCCAGAGCCAGTTGTGGATCCTTTGTCTTCCCCCTCCCCCAGCTCATGCTTACCTTAATGAGGCAGAAGTGCTACAACTTATTTATTGAAAGCTGAGTTCTGATTAGCTAATTTTTCCCAAAAGACAATTCCCCACTCCACTGAATTACCACAATGCATTTTGAATGATGATGGCTACTTTTGCATTGCTGAACAATCTTACCTCATGATTTAACATGTTGTAAAGTTCTGCTTTTGATACAGCAAGTCTTTCCCTATCAGTACTATCTACAACTAAAATTAAAAACTGAAAGAGAAAACACAATACAACTTGATCAAAATTACCTATTTTCTGATGGAAAAGATGATCAAGAAATCCTTAATTATTTAGAGCAGAAAGTACTACAAAGTGGTTAAGAGAACTTTGCAAATTACTAACTGTATTTAGGAAAACTATGTAAGGAGTTACTGAATATTATAAAGTTTAGTTTACCTCTGTATTTGTGTAATATGTGTTCCATGCTGATCTTAGTGATTCTTGACCTCCTATATCCCACATCAAGAAATGAATATTTTTCCATACAACCTAATATTGAAAAGATGAGTACACACAATCATGCACCGCACATAAACAATGAATTACAATCTCTAGGCCATCTAATAAACTTGAACCCATTAAATAGTTTCCTTTAGATAAATGGACCTTCCTTGAGTATAAGAACAACAGATGTTGGCTAATACTTTCCAATTAACTCTTTAACTCTTAAGATCTGATTGTTAATTCTCACCTCTCGCTAATACACAGTACCTTCTAAATTAGTAAGTAATTCCAAGTATTCTCATTACTTGTTTGCTGAAGAGTGTATAGATATTGTATGGATATTATAAGAAGTCACATGTTCACCACTCCTGGGATTTACAGGTTAAAAGAAGCCAACAATAAACATTTCACAAATTACAGTAATTGATGAAAACCTTCACACATTTCAAAACAAATGGAAAATTTTGCCGTACAGTTTGAAAGAATCATCTTGCCACCTGTAATACTGTCAATAGGAGGCAGCTAACTATATGTACATGAATGTCACAGGTTTTCAATACACTTAACTCTTCAAAATCTTTATTGTTATAGGCTTACCTCTTCTACATTACTGCCTATTGTTGGTGATGTATGAACTACCTCACTCATTAAACTGTAAGACAATAATGAAAAAAATAAACATCATGATAGATCTAAAATATAATTTTCAACCTAAATTTTGATACTTACAACTGATACAAAATTGTTGTTTTTCCTGCATTATCTAAGCCCACAATGATCACCTTGTGTTCTGAAAATAATAAAAATTGATATTTGCATTACAATTTACTCTACAATTTAATATAGTCATACCATTCATCATGTTACAAAGTTTGTATCTCCTGAAATGGAAAGAAAATATTCTTGTTCTCACTCTGGTCAGATTTTATATTAGGCAAAAATGAATCCTGTTCCAATTCAAAAAATTTATTATAACAACAGTTTCCAGTCTTAACTGTTTACTACTAACTGATTATGTTTCCGTGACATCAAAGACTTTCAAGTTTAATTCTATGATGTGAGAACCAGTTCATTTAGAATATGATCTGAAAGTGGTTAATGGCTTAATCTATAAGTCGTTATTTAAAAAATTGAGCTCATTTCCAAAATTTGGATGCAAAAAAATTTGCATTAGTTTCTGCCAACAGAAAACTAGAATCAGAAGAATTCAAGAATATGAGAAATCAGTTCAACAGAATTTACTCATTTTACCCATACTTCACAATATTTTCACATTGACTTACGTGCTCATTCAAAACAATTGTTCAATTGGGGAAACCCCACAAACAGAAACTTGAAATAACAGCTAATTTCCATTAGCTTACAACACAGATTTGAGTAAAAGTCGATTTGTAAATACTCAAATGCAGGACTGATGTTGTTCATGGGTTCCACTTTACCAAAATATCGGTTTACCCAGTTTATATTACCGTTTTAAGGAGACAAAATACCGTATATATGGAATGTTTAAAAATCAACTTCATTGTAAGATATGCAAGGCCTTGAAATCACATTGAATAAATAGGTAGCATCCTTTGTTGAAAACAATAAAACGTACTTAAGGTTCACAAGAATACGTCGCTACCTCTTCTCCGTCGAAAAAAAGTACAACAACAACAAAAATTTCACTCGTTCCTTGACGAATTTCAATCTTCACACATATTGTAACATCCATGCACACCGTACACAGACAAAGGTTCCGACAAGCTTAATGATTTCCATCAGAAAACGCCATGAAGAACGATCTTCCTCAATTAAAATATATATGACCAAAGTAAATCCAAAATGGAATAGAGCCTGTAGGGTTAAGTAAAGAGCAAAGACATACATGTAACAGGATTTTGTCTCTTTGATATTTTTACTGGCAAGCTAAGGGCACGCCAACCGTAGGCATTATACTTACCCTCATTGCTGAACCAACTGAACAATTTAGCGAACAAAAGCCCCATCTCGTGCCCATGAAAATAACGTGGTTAAAATGGAATCGGGACAAAATCCAGGAATTTAGGGAAAGGTTTTTTCAATCGATATTTGTACTACCCTGACTTCCGAAATCGACACTACACAGAGTCAGGTCAAATCACGCATGCTCCAAGCCTCGCATGGATGTGATGTGACGTAATTGTACAAGCGAGGGTTCCTATCTCCGGAAGTGTAAATTGATATAAACTTCTTCGCATTTCTGTTTGGTGAGAACTGTAGCTGCCACACTTACTCAAGCAACGCTAAATTGAAATCGAAGGTTCGTTTGCATCACCCAAAAAGGCTTGACAGCCGAGACATCTCTTAATTAATTGTACGGAACTTATTTAACTCTAGGAAAACATAAGATATTATCATGTTTAAATCATTGTGGAAGAAAAATTATTTAGCAATATTTCTGCGAATACCTGGAATAGTCTTCCCAAAAAAGTTCATAACTCAACAAATCTAACAGAATTCCATTGCAATCTTGAGAAAGCTATTCTTTAGAATCATTCATTCATTTCATTCTTCGTTATTATATTAATAATTTCTTTATATTTCGTTTAACATTATGATTGTAATTTATTTGATGAGTTTGTTTTTTTACACTCGTTCGTATTTGAAAGAGTTATAGCTCCTGAAAGACATTTCTAGATAAAGAAGTATATTGCAAGTTCCCACGACGGTTGAGTGACTAACCCCTTTTTTTTCACCTGTGCTTAAAATAGTTGGTGCATGAGATTCAGTCGATAACTGTTAGTATTTACGTCTGTCCTCATCTAATAAGGTTTTCCGGATTCATAACATCACTTCCTCTTTAATTTTTCACCGCAACTATTTTTATAAACTTAAAATATTATCTTAGTTAGCGGAAATTCTGACGCAAACTCGAAACTTTTTTTCCATGATTTCCCGATTTTCAGAAACGTCAAGGTTTGCTCACTGTCGGTGATCAATGGAACGCTTTCAGAGCGAGAAGAGAGTTAAACGAGCGACTGACTCTCAGGCTATCGCATTATCGCTTAGATGTTATGGAAAATGGGAGGCACAATGGATGGAAGATAGGCTATAGCAGAGCTAACTGTTAATGACTAACATCTATCTCTTGCTTCAAGCAAATGAACACTTTTCGATTCGCCTTGAGGTTTAACGAGAACGCAATTTTACGAACACGCAATTTTTTAAAACCTTCATTTACGTCTTTCTGACCACAAAAAAAAAAGGACACAAAAGACGGGCCAGTTTTATCTTCTTGTTATGATATTATTAACCACCAAAAATAAAAGAGCAGCTAGAGGCCATGAAATAGTCGAAACACAGATAATCCCGAAGTCACGTGGACAGAGAGTGACAGCCAGCTGTTTGTAACATTACATAATACAATGAGTCTTGATTCTCAGATAAAAATCAATTACAAGTAATAATCATGGAAGACTGAAACAAAACGAAAAAATATCCTCAAAGAAGGAGTAATTTTTAAATCTATGTATAAAAACACGAAATAAATAACACATTCGTCGTTAAACTTGTCGTCATTATGCTCCTATTATTCATTAGACGCTGGAGTCAGATTTTTAACTCTGCGTTTCATGATTTTAGAAAACTCCGTTTTCCTTTGAGGGTTGTAAATCAAATTGCAGCGTTTAAGAAAAATTCTGAACGAAGTAAATAAAAACTTGGATCATCCAGCGTCAAACAAAAGTTCTCAAACTTTTCCTTCAGCCACGTGCTTTGACTTGTTTTACTTTGAATGGATTTCTTTTCTTCATTTCTTTCTTGTGTTCTCTTTCCTAAAGACAAACCAGAAAAGGAAATGTTTACTCGAAGTTATATCACAAAATCATAAAGTCATTTATTGCGTAGACTACTTTTCCTGGCGCAGATATTGAATGCAAACCAACCTCCAGCCTTCGCTGTCTGTCAGGGTCATCCTCTTGCATGATTCGTTCTTTCTCAGCTCTTACTTTGTCTTCGCGACGTTGCTGTGCGGCCTTCAATTGTAAAAAAGATGCAGTTAACCTTGAAACTACTCAATTATGGAACCTTTATTCGTGACCGAGCAAACTTGCTAAAAATCTTGTCAAAAAAAGACCACCAAGATTTCCTTTCTCTCTGGTTTGCATGTTATTGCTTGGAAGTAATTCAAAAGAATCCAACAGAGGTTAGAGAGCATTTAAATTACGCGCTAGATCAAAGCAACGTCACGAAAACTGCCAAATATAAGAAAACAATACCATTAATTTTCACTCACTTCTTGCCTTTGAGCATGAGATTGTTTCAGCAGATTTTCCTCGAGTTCTCGCCGATTTTTGTCAGCTTTAGCTTTAGCCTGAAGTAAACAAAACACGATTAGTCTAACGATTCACTAATAAAGAATGTTACGCATTGTGGTAACACGACAGAAAAAGCTACCCCACAAGCGAGTCTATGATGAATGATATAGAGGAAAATTAAAAGAAACAAACTAAAAGATTTCTAAACTCGAGAAAAGAAGCTAGAACTAAGCACGAGAAACAAACAAACCTCTTTTCCGAGCTTAAACCGTCTAACCCTATCAATACAGTGAAGAACTAGTTTCATCATCGGTTCTAATTTGACCATGTCAGATGACTTGGTACTGCTCCCTTTAGAAGGCACTGAAAAATATATCGTATACAACACTCAGATACAAGAAAACAGAATCAAACAAGCTGACACCATAGTTATTAAGGATGGCCGAAAGGATTTTGAGATCTCAAAAGTCTGAGATATATTAATATCATTTACAAGATATCATTGCCAGTGAACTCATTGGAGATGTTGCCAAACTGATTCAAGATATCAGTGAACTCTTCTTAAGTTGGCAGAAAATTCAACCAAATAATTGGCAGATTCATCTGAGTTGTCAGCAAACTCAGCCAAGTTGTTGGCAAACTCAACTGAGTTGTCTGTGAACTCAACAGAGTTGTTTCGCACAAGTTGTTACTGCAGAAATATAAATTTTCCAGCAGCAAGACAGAAATCAATCTCACCTTTAAAGTTAAAAAGCAGGACCTTCTTAGGTTTGACAGGTTTCCCACTAGCTGCCTGGTCACTAAAATAAATAAAAAAGACTAATGAGCAAGACAAAAGGTTACCTAGAGAATAAACTAAATCTGAGACAACTACCCTAAAAAGATTCAACTTTTCTTTCAATTAAAAATATTGATAAAGCATTTGACATACTCGTCATCAGGTTGCTTTGGACCCACATATTGATCAGAAAATATCAATGAGTCAAGCATTTCTTCACCACTGGAAATAGCTCTTGTGATCTGTAACGAGAAATGCCACACATTGAAGAAAAAAAAATTGCTGTACATTTGTCAGGAGTACAAGACAAAGATACAGTGCTCAAGCACAAAGATACTATCTGAGTCCCCATCTGCAATCAAACCCTAAACTTCAAATTGCATTGTCTTATCCTGGACTACTGAGCTGGGGAGAACTCACTGGTGAGATAAGCTGAATAATAATTTAATATATGACATGCATGCTGCTGCCTGCATATTGACAGGATGGGCAAGCTTTTTTCATTGCTGAAAATAGCTGGATGCAGGAGTTGTCACACATTTAAGACTGCTCCCCTTACCTCATGTAAAAGAAACATCTCAAAATCATAGCAATCTGATATTTTGAGCTAAGAGTAAAAAAAAAATTAGCCAAGTTTTTTTTTTATCATACCTGTGATGATAAAATGGCACTGGCTGCTTCAGCAGACTCAGTTAACACAACAAATGAGCCAGGTAGATCATATTTAGGTCCAGCACGTTTATCAGGACAGAAGAAGGTCTACGTAAAGAAGACAGTGTTACCAAATACATCAGCAGACACTTTTCATGACCACAAATATATCAGAACAAATTCACCACATAATTCTTTTCTTACCAAATCTTGGAGCTCCTTTTGCATCTTAGCAGCAGTCTTCTTTGGTAAAACAGCAAGAACAAAGTTGTCCATTTCTTCATCAGTCATGTGCACTGTAACTGTCTAAATAAAACATAGACAACAAGTTAGGGACTTTTCAGTTTTTTTTTGTCAACAGCAATTAGAAAATGAGCAAATCAGACAATGGTGAAAACAAACAAATAATACATAACAAAACAAACTTAAAACGTACCACAGTATCCCTGGCTGGTTTGACTAAATAAGACATCACACTAACAAGATCATGACGCTTCTGTAACTAAAATAGAAAGATAAAGACCAGTGACCAACTGTCCTATGCACACAGAGCAACTGATAACCTTTTTACAGTAAGTGCTCTAAACAGCAACTGTTTTGATCAGCTAAGAATAAAATTTGGCAACCTTTGTTTAGTGGTCATGTAGCAAGATGTAATATTTTTATGACTCAGTACTCAAGGTTTTGGTGAGAGAGGCATTTACAGAAAATTTTATTGAACAAATTTCCTTTCAAATTTATGTTTATTAAACCGGAAACAAAATAAAATTGGAGGTGACCATTTCAATATCATCTAAGGTCATCAAATTGTGACAGTGACAAATATTTTCATTGAAGCATGAACAAAGTTATAGGGTAAGCATCTACATAAATGAAACATGTAACTTTGGGCTAAGATTTCTTCCTTACCTTAATTTCAACAAGCAATCCATCACAGCCTACCCTCCCTGTGCACCATAATGTATACAGACTCTCACTCTCCTTCACCAATATTCCTTGTTGAGGTTCCTCACTGGAGCCATCATCACCTGGTTAGGCAAATAAAACAATATTCAAATTAAACAAACCAGTATAAAACAATGATTTTAAAAACAATGCAACAAATAATATTCAGATGATTGCATCATTAAAATTCTTGCTTTCTTCTCAGACACATCAATTTGATTTCATGTCATTGCGAGTCTTTCAGCAATAGATCACAGATGACATCAAAATAAAGTCAGAACATAGTGACACTCAGCAGCTCCTTGTGAGCCACTTTTTTGTTCTCACCACATTTTGATGTCATCTGTGATTTATTACTGATCAGATACATAGCAATATGGAATCTAATGGTAAAACTTACCCACTACACTGAAATTACTCTCCAAAAGTTCTTTATTAGATTTTAACCTGGGAATTTAATCAAAGGAGACAAAGTTATAATTCAAATTGAATGGGGTCCCATACATAAAATAGAGAAGAATCATTTAACCTTGAACTCTAGAGATCAAATTGTTCATTCTCCTTTCTCCTACTGCACATTTGCTAGTAAATTAGTAACAAGAATTTGGTGTGAGATCAAGATAACAATTGATACCTGAAAAAATTTAGTATTCTCAATCCCTGTCAGCTGGATTTTTGAAAATTATAAGGCTATTACTTTAATAGTTTTTAACTGTTATGTGTCACCCACTTAGTTATTTTCTATATGGAGAAAGGGTTAATCATGGATATGCATCAATTTTGAACAGAAAAAGAAAAAAAATCATCAGAATTTGTTTTTGCTGTGAGCCATTCAGTTGTTTCATAAAAACACAAACACATTACCATGCAGTTGCAAGCCTTGAGTTTTTACTTCGTCCAGCAAAGAAATTAAGTGCATAGGCTGCTAGCCCAGCTAGAGTCAGAATTTCAGCATAAAATCCCTCCCAGTTTGCCCTTAAATGAACAGGAATCTGAAACAGAAACACCAAAAAATGTAAGAAAAGTAAAAGTCTTTGCAAGAAATAAATAAACATGTTTTATTATCTCATGAAGCACACACCTTCTTTATTTTTAAATCAGGTTGTGGACCTGATTTTCCTTTTGGTATTTTTTCTTTATTATATCCCTGCATGGTAGGAAAAAAGTATACCATCAGTAAACTTGTTTGTGTAGAGGTAATTTATACAACCAGTTTACTCTTAACTCCTTTGAGTGATCAAGAAAGAATTTCTCCTGTCAATATCAATACAATATCAAGCAGACAAGTAACGAGGAGGAAAATTATCAATTGATTTAATAACAAATTCTCCAAACTAAAATTTTAAGAATTGAATGGCAGATAGAAAAAAGAATTACCTAATGAACATGATCTTGGGTGTGAAAGTGTTAGAGTGGTTTAACAATAGTTAACAAGTATCAGAACAATCAAGGCTGAAACTACGAAAAAAACAATTCAAAAATTAAACAAAATCTTTACCTCAAATTCTTCTTCATCAGTAAAGTGATCAAACTCTTCTTGCTCCTCCTCTGACTACAAAAATGAATAATTCATTCACTATTAATGATCAGTTGCAAACCCAAGTAAGGTAAATATTTGTTCATTCAAAGTTTGTTCAAGTCAATAAATGACATTCTTTAAAACACCTGTAAAAATATAAAGTACACTACTTGAGGAAAGTCCCTCGAACTAAGACAAAATTCTCCAACTGAAAAAATTATTCATGTGAAATAATGATAATCACAGTAATGTTAACACTGATATGTGGATACAGCAAGGAACTATGAAGATATTATCATCTATTTGAAAGTATAAGCTGTTTACCTCTTCAACATTTGCCTCTGACTCATCTGTTTCTTCTGCAACATCAGCTAAATAGATTGAAACAAAAACATTGTGATTTATATCTTTTTAAGTATTTCTTTTTTCCCTCAACATCCCCATATTTTCTTTGTTCACTGTTTTTCTGCAACAAGCACAAATTTCACCACTACAGAGGGTGAGATGAGGAATAAAAAAAAAAGAGAGACAAAGTTTAAGGAGGGAAAGGACAAAGGGAGCAGAAGCTAATGAAAACTCTCGAAAATTTTCAATTCATCCCTTAAACCAAACATTATTTTGTGCATTAGTTGTTGGCTATACCACCACAGTACATCACCCCAGTCACCTGGTCTGGAATGAACCAGTTCACAAATAGAACCCATAATGTACTCTAGGACCAGGCTCGAAGTTCTTTGACCCAAGCTGACCAAACAACAAAAAAACGCAACGTTGGGAATAAAAGTGAAGGGTTCCACGAATTAAGTTCTATAACAAAAAGGAGCGACCTTCCGTATGAAATATATGAACACCTATGCTGAGTAGTCAAACCCAATAACATAAAGTTTCTACAACATGCTCTTCCCTTGCTCTAGCTTTTAATTAACAGCATATTGTGTATATTTCTATACACCGTTCCAAGGCAGGTTCCCATCTAAACCAAGTAAAATTTATCAGCTGACAAAAGTGTATATGGCAAAGAATCGATCGTGGTTGTTACATGAAGATGACATAAACGTTTGAAATAATCCAAAAATAAAGAGAAACAAGAAAAGACGAAGACCAAAATTTCATTTTGATGTTGGGGAAAGATGTAGCGTGACAAACACACGTGGTAGCTAGCGTTCCAAAAGAAGTAGGTGATTATTGTAGGTGATTGCCATTAAAGTCAATAAAGACTATAGACCTTAAATCCAGTTAAATCGCAAGTACATAATTTCTTGAAAAATATTCACTTACCCACCTTGGCCTATCCAGGAAAAAATACGCGCTAAATAAGTTTTAAAAACTCTTCTAACCTTCCTCTTCTTCATCGTCATCTTGATCGCCTGTTCCATGCACCTCTGTTTCTTCTTCATCTTCTTCGTCCCCTTCCGTTTCAAATTCAGCAAAATCATTACTGTTGTCGTCCGGTTCGTCAGTGGCAGTGATGTACGTCAGAAAACCAACAAGCAGCAGGAAAATCATGATAAATAAAGGCCTGAAAGGCTTCAGATACGAGCGCACCGACGCCATTTTGAAAGTGGGTTAATAGTGCTACCCAAAGTTCCATTCTCGCGATTTCACGAGGCCTGCAATAGTTTCTGGGTACTGGAGGCCATGTTGAGTTAGACGTCTGGAATCGTGCAGTTATCAAATTGAATTTAGTAATTCTTCCGCTCTAAAGTAAAAATGGGAAGCGAAGTCAAGATGGAGACTGATATGGATAAAACGGACAGCAAGTTAGCATCGCGAGATGAGAGAGAGAACGCGGAAAAAGACCGTGATAAAGACAGGGATAGACACCGGCATAAAGACAGACATCGCAATAAGGAATCAGACAGAGAACATAAGAGAGAAAAAGAAAAGCATCGTGATCGAGACAAACGTGAAAAGGACAGAGATAGGAAGAGAGATAAAGACAGGGACAGAAAACACCGTAAAAGATCAAGGTATACCAAGGGTAGCAGTGTGTGGAGCAATGTTATATGCAGAACTGGAGGTTGAAAGCCTTGTTGCGCATGTACTTCTGTTTTGTAGAATTACTATATATTTAAGCAAAAGTTTTGCTTTTCAAATAGTGTTAGGTTAATGCCTCATGCATGTCAGGGTTAACCCTTTGACCCCTTTGGGTGCCAAGTATCTAATTTCTCCTTACAATATTGCCCCTTAATCACACATACAGGTTATGAGAGTAAAGGAAATGATCACCAACTCAAAAAGCAATTGATTGCCAAACAAACTCTACATGTCAGCACCCTAGAAAATGTATGGAGAACAGTGTATAGAATATGCATACTGATGTTAGGGTGTAAAGGGTGCTACTTGTAGCAATTGTCACAACATAGGGATATTAACAGTAGATGAGTACAAAATGTCCATATACCCTTAAAGGCTTATTTTTCAAGTCGCCATACCAGAGGCTACTTGTCTGTTTAGTGGACTGATGATTTTTGGATTGCTTACAAACTTTAAGTACCTTTTTGTTCTAGATCTAGGTCACCTCACAGATCCAAAGATAGCAAGAAGTCAAAGTAAGTTCTTTTTATAAAGGAAAGTGTCTGACCATTTTGTTACCATTTGTCAAATCTTTAGTCAAGTAAGGTAATAAAACATCCACTGTAATATTTATCAGACCAGATGACGACAAAAATGGTGTAGAAGAACAAGAGGATGAGCAAGTGAAACCAAAAGTCGAGGTGATTAGACAGCTTTTAATCAAGTTTAAGTAAATGTTGTTTGGTTTTATCAACTGATTTGTTCATGTTATTTGGCCATTGTAAAGAGTTTCTAAAGCTGATGTTTCAAGCATCAGCCCTTTGTCCTTCTCTCTGACCAAAGGCTAAGGCTCAAAATGTCAGCTTGAGAGACTTGTCATTTTGACCAATACTAACAGTATTGAATCAATCATTAAAACCAAATTATCTTGTAATGCCTCTGATGCAGTATCACAGTTTTGTGAGAAACATACTTCTTTATGCTTGTGATCTGGTTGAACAAGATAATGCCATGCAAAGATGGCCCAGCAAGAAAGGGAAGAGAGAGAAAGAGTGGTGGTCATATGAGAAAATTTTCATTGACTGAGTTAGTTTGGATTGAAAGAGAAAACATTTGGCTCTTGGTCACAAGGTGCAAACCTCACCGCACTCACTACATGCTTCATTACCTTGAGCAAAATGTTTTCCTAGTTTTCACTCCTACTGAGTCAATAAGTTCATAATATGAAATGGCATCCAATAGAAAACCAGCTAAAACTCTACGGTCACATAATGTTCTTGTAATAATTAAACTTGTGATGTACACTTCATGTAGCGTATCAAGAGCCAATTTTGAATGTTATATACTGAACATTATAGTTGTGAACTGCTGTATTGTGATGTGTGGAATAACTGTGTATAATACAATTTTTTTTTATCCTTATACTAGCCCTTATCTCTGGAGGAAATGATTGCAAGACGAGAGGCTGAAAAGAAGGCACAAGAAAAGGTATAGGAACAACACAGGGACCACACAGCTAATTGTTTGGGGTTCCTGTGGACCCACACTGCCAGATTATTTTGTTAGAGTTCTTTTTTCAGTTTTATGTGTTTTTTCATTAACTTTTTTGAAGCTTATAATTTACTGGTACTGTTTTATCACAGCCAACATTTTTGACTAAAGAACAAAGAGCCATGGAGGCACTGAAAAGGAGACAGCAGCAAGTAGAAGAACAACGGAAAAAGACTGAGGTATTTAAGAAGAGAATCTATTCCACATATTTATGTTGAGTGAGCAAGGATAGAACTTCATCTTAAACATCTTTCACAATTTTTTAACAGACATTCATCGACAATAATTATTCTGAACTTTAAAATAATGCATTTGTCCTACAGGGGGAGCGCCAAATGAGGGAGAAGTTCCTAAGAGAGGCACAGTATTCGAGAGGTTAGTCAGCTTGTTTGTCTCATCTTATAGTTGATAGAGTTTCCACCTTAACATCCCTTGCAAATTTTGATTGTACATGTTATTTTCTGAACACATTCAATGACCAGAGGATGAAGTGGAAAGAGAGAGAAGGGAAAGAAGAGAAAGACGAGAAAAGAACTTGACTGAAGAAGAGGTGGGAACCATGTTTGTTGAAAGAATAATTTTTCTAATGATTTTTAATGTTAATAAATTGTGTTTAGTACCATGCTTTAGAGCTTAGATATAGAGAAAAGTTCCTGTAATTTTCCATTAATTTTGAATTACTACTTTCTTCTCTGGCTGCCTTATTGTAGGCTGAGAGTGAGAAAGCAAAACTACGAAAGGTAAGATACAGACATACTCATTAAAATGCATTATGATGGCTCTTAACGAGAGTCAACCTACAAAGTGTATGATCTGCTCATGAATTCTTCTGATGTGTTACCATTGATTGAACTATTACACTCAAGGAAGCCACGCCTTTAACTTTGAGGTGTTTCATGGAACAAAGATCTTTTTGGCCATTAGGATTAAAAGGTTGAAAGGTTTTACATGAGTTGTTGGTGAAAGGATAGTAGCTTTCAAGCCTGTAGTAAATTTGTCATTCAACAGCAATCACTAACACAGATATCCAAAGTTATTTTTCTATACAGAGATTGACTACTCATTTTACACTTTTCCACAGGAAAAAGATCAGGAGAAAGAAATCCAAGCAATAAAGGTAATACTGGATGTGATAATTAAAAAGAATGACTGCTACAAAGTCAAGTCTAAAAGGACCAAACATAACTTTGTTAATCTGATTAGCTATATACTGCAGTATTTGATTAATATGTGAAATTTCAGGAGCGATACCTTGGGGGAGTGAAAAAGAGGAAGAAGATACGTCGTCTTGCAGACAGAAAGTTTGTGTTTGAATGGGACACAGGAGAGGATACTGCTGTGGATTATAACCCAATGTAAGTATCTTCAGTAGTAAGGGACATAAACCAATGAATCAGTGTAAAGAAAAAAAAAAGTGTCTAGCAAGTAATTAACTTATTTCAATAACTGTTTTTTTTTGTTTTTTTTTCATAGTTACACTGAAAGACATCAGATACAACTCTTTGGAAGAGGACACATTGGCGGAATTGACATAAAGGTAAAGGTCCTTCAAAAGAGATTTACGTTATAGTGAAAAGAGCTGAAGTTGATCAACAGCTCTCTTTGTTCATAAACCAGACATATTCACTCCATATTTTTCTTTTCCACCCAAATTCAATTTCAAAATAGTTGTGTAACAACATTATGTTAATAAATCAGGGCACAGCAGATTTTCATGGGGATGTTTTTAAAAGGATAATTTTACTTAAGCCTCTTAACCCTTCTACCCCATGGAGTGTCTGGCCTCTTTTTTCCCCTTGGAGTATCTGGCCTCTTTTTTCCCCTTGGAGTGTCTGGCCTCTTTTTTCCCCTTGGAGTATCTGGCCTCTTTTTTCCCCTTGGAGTGTCTGGTCTCTATTTTCCCCTTGGAGTGTCTGGCCTCTATTTTCCCCTTGGAATGTCTGGTCTCTATTTTCCCCCTGGAATGTCTGGTCTCTATTCTCCCCCGTGAGTGTCTGGTCACTCTTGTTTCCCCCTGGAGTGTCTGGTCTCTATTTCCCCTTGGAGTGTCTGGTCTCTATTTTCCTCTTGGAGAGTTTGGTCTCTATTTTCCCCTTGGAGTGCCTGGTCCCTTTTTTCCCCTTGGAGTGTTTGGTCTCTATTTTCCCCTTGGAGTGTCTGGTCTCTATTTTCCCCTTGGAGTGTCTGGCCTCTATTTTCCCCTTGGAGTGTCAGGTCTCTATTTTGCTCTTGGAGTATCTGGCCTCTATTTTCCCCTTGGAGTGTCTGGCCTCTATTTTCCCCTCACATTATCATCCTTCAGCCTTGAATCAAATTTAAAGGTTATGAGAATGTAGAAAATAATAACCAATTTAAGAAGCTCCTGACTGTCAAACAAATTCTCCTTGTCAGAACCATGGGAAATGTAAAGAAAACATTGTGGAGAATATGAATGTAAATATTGGGGTGGAAAGAGCCAAAAGTGAATAACAATAGTCATTATTGATTCTTAAATAGAAGAAACTTATCATCATTACTCATAGCTTATATCTACCTGATTCCAAAACACAGTGGCAGAAGAAAGAAACAGGGAAGTTTTACCAGGAAATGTTGGAGAAAAGACGAACTCAGGAGGAGAAGAATCAGGAGGCGTAAGTAACAAAGCAATGCATATTTTTGTGTGTGTTTTTTGAATAGTGCTTGTATCTCTACCATAAAATTTTACAATCACTGTCATTTGAAAAAAAAGCTGTAAACACATTTAGTTGATTTTTACTGGCAAATTTTGTCCTGGCCAATCTAAATTAAGTTCAGGACAAACTTGAAATTTTTAAAACAAATAATTAATTACCATTGCTGTTCACAGTCCAGTATTTGTTCCTTAGATATTTTGATGTGTTCACAGTTTTCTTAGTTTCATAGTTTTCTTAGTTTCATGGTTAGTGTTGTCAATCTTTGTCATGTTGTTAGTTCTCTGTAGTTCTTCCCATCAGCCTGTAGTTTGAAGATGTTAAATAAAAAAAAATCCATT